GCACAGGAGGGCAAAGGGTCAGTCACCAGAGCAGGCACCAGCACAAGAACGTGCTGATAGTTATTCAAAGGAGTAAAGAACTTACGCTGGCTTTCAGGAGGGACGGCAGGTGGGCGGTGGGTGCCTCCCCCGGCGGCAGGGACGCAGGGACACGCTCTCGCCAACTCACACCGACGGTTTGTGCCAAAAGAAAATCCCTTTGGTCCTTCACAGGGCGCAGTGGCGGGAGGAGGCGCTGGGACCTGCGGGCGGCCCGGCCCGGCGGCAGCAGCACCGCGGAAGCACCCGCCCTGAGTCCGTCCGTCCGTCCTGCCGGAAAACTGGGATCAGAACCACGGCATCAGAGAACGGCTGAGGCTGGAAGGGAGCTCCAGAGCTCACCCTGTCCCAGCCTCTGCTCGGGCAGGGGCACCTGGAGCCAGCTGCCCAGGAACGCGTCCGGACAGCCCAGTCCGCGGCCTGTTCTTTCTCTGTGAAAGTTAAATATCATAGAACAAAATGAATGATTTAATCTGCACACTAACAAGGTTACACCGGGTGCTCAGCGTATATAGCATTTTATTGAATGAAGGTATGTTACAATAGACAAACATATATTACACATGCTATACAAAATATACATTCTTATGTGAAAAAAATATAAATAGACACTAGGAAATAGCAACAGGGAACAAGAGCAGCTTTGCCGACGCTGTCTGACAAACCCCCAGCTCTGTACTGGTCGTGCTTTGGCATCGATGGAGGAAACTGCGTTTCCAGAACAGCCGCTCTGTCCTACCTGCGCCTCCCTGGAAGGGGGACGGAAGAGACCTGACCTTTCCTGCAAGTCCACCCAGGAAGATTTTCCAGAACACTGAGCACAGCAAGGTGGCCACCTACCTACAACCTTCAGCTACCTGCAACCAGCTTACAGAGACACCACTGCTCGTGGGAGGACGCAAATGTCCCGGTTCACCAGGGCAGCGCTCAGGCCAGTTTCTCACAGAAATCAGCACAGGTTCAGCTCTGAAACGGCTCCGAGAGCTCGCCCGTCAGCCCGCCCGGGCGCAGAGCATCCGCTGCCCAAGCAGCTCCTGCCTCCCCAAAGGGAATCAGTCGCAGCGGGGAGCACAAGGCGCCCCCAGAGGTCTGGGCACCCACAGCCACACCCCGACACATCCGACCGGGCTCGGCTCCACAGAGGGGGACGGGAGAAAAGGCAACGAGCACCTGCCAGAGGGTGTCGGGCCGGGCAGCAGCAGGGCGCTGCTCTGACCCCCGGCCAGCTGCTGGTGCTGCCACGGCACCACCTCCCGCCTCTGGGTTCAACGGACAGTGCCGGGTTCCCGCAACAGAGAGAACTCTGGACTGAGAGTAAGCACCAAGGTTTAAACGCTCTCTGGAGCGGAAAAGCCTGGAGGAAATAAAACCAGAAAGGAATGAAGCTCGGATTCCTCTTTCAGCATGTGCGTTCTGAAAACATTTCAGGTGGCTGACAGAGGTAACGAACGGGGACTGTGCTTCCCCTGACTCAGCAAGTCCCGGGCTTTCAACATTGAGTGGTGCCCTCATCAGTGTTTCATTTCTCACCTGTCAAATACTCAGACATTTTGCCCACGCTGAGGTCTGGGGAACTATGAGAGTTCAAGAGGGGAACAATTTTCCCTGATACTTTACAACAGAAAAGGACACAAGTGTTTTAAATGGCGTGTGCCTCTTGGCTGTGCAGAGGAAACAGAAAATCCACGGTCCAGTTCACTGTTTATCAAATGCTCTCCCGATTTATCTGATGGTTTTCAGCACAACATTGTTTTTAAAAGCTCACTTAACTGTCAGCTGAGAAAAATACATGGAGACCTCTCTGCAACATACACAACAGCTTTTTATAAAGATAAGAGCTTAGATAAACTCTGAAACAAACCACTCGAACCTCCCATCTTACAGCTATTTTACCCGATGACCAGAAGGAAGTCTGTGGACTGTTCTGTTTGTTATTTACAAGAACTTCTGGGAAGCTGGATCCTACAGCCGGGAACAGGGGCTAAGCAGGGTCTGTGGGGCTTTACGCTCTCTGGGACGAGGCGGGAGCCAAGCAGAGATTTAAGGACTCAACGCTTAAACGGGTCAAACTTGGAATTCTGCTCCTGTCGCGAAGCGGATCAGCTTGCAGTCAGGTCAGCCAGGCTTAATGCCTGCAGAGTGGTGCGGAACAATGAAATTCCATCACGGGCTGACCTCGTCCCTAGAGCAAACTCCCTCCTTCCCAAGGCAAAGGCAGCTCCACCCCTCGGAAACAAGCCTTCAGTCCCACCAAGACACCCGTACGGCTTGATACGCGGCTGTCAAGACTAACAATATGATACATACTTTGGCATAATAAAAAATATATTTACATTACAGCCAACACATTTATATGCTTAGTGTATACAAAATATTTATAAATGCAAATTTATTTACAACTAGAGTCCATTATTCATAGGAAAAAACAAGCCCCAAAGTTAGACTGGTAACAAACGCCTGCCAACAGTCTAAGGAACAAAAAGCTGGCCAAGAGTTTTACGCTCACAGTTGCTGGGGAATTCCACGAGGAGGCCCTGAACATTTGTTTTCAAGCAGACAATGCAGTGTGAAATAGCTGTGCATTCTTGAGAGATTTGCAAAGCAAGCGCCAACACAAAGGCTGCTTCCAGCACCAGAAATCCGCATTTTAACGCTACTCCTAATCATCCCTGTGCTCTGCTGCACGTTCCCATTTTCCAACACACAGAAATCCAAGGAGAAAGGGCACACGCCACCTCCTCCCGGAGACTGTGCCTGCTCGGTCAGCCTGGCACTGCAGACACACGCACACAAGCATCTTTGGCCTGGGGTTAGTCCTGAGGTAGTAAATACAAAAAGTCACTCGATATGGATTTGCTTTCAAGACTTCACTTTAGTGTCCTACGTGGCTTCACTGGAGTCACGAATGCTCCGTGTCCTATTAAAATCAAAGTTACGCTCACGTAACCTGTGGCAGGGTCTGGGCGAAGCCTGTTCCCGGCCGCCGTCGGCGACGCCCTCGCTGCGCAGCGCCCGCGGGGTCTCCCGGGCCGACGGCTGGTGCAGAAAGTGGGAGTGAGAGAGAGCAAGGTCTTTGTTTACTCCCCACAAAGGAAGCTGAAAGGGTTCTGAGGGAGAAAGAAGATGAACAGGGGTGAGTTCACAATAAACACACTCAAATTTTAGACAGATTTTGCGCTCTGTGACGCGGCAGTAACAACCTTCCTGAGGTTATAGGCTCTGGTTTTGAGAGCATATTTCACTGGATGCTCTCCCATTCAGCAGTCTGTTACAGTAACCAGAAACAACACACACAGTTTCAGCGTGCATTTTTAAAAAGGCTACCTGGAAGAAAGTCAACATAAACCCAATCATTTTACAACAACAACAACAAAATTCTTTTGGAGTTCTCCGAAACTCAGGCCAGCTCAAACAGAAGGGGTATTTGAATTTCTTATGTGAAGCTTTAACTCTTGGCTAAGGGATGTCCCCAAAGAACACGTGAAGGATCACGTTCCAGAGGCTTTAAGAGATAAACTGCAGATTAAGAAACACCATCTTTTGAACATCACCCTCTCCAGCTCTCGGGTACTGGATACAAACGGCTCGAGCTGAGAACAGCTGGTTACGACACTGATGAGTTACGCCACAAACTGCAGGCACCTGAAGAATCAGCTGTGGGCCAGCAGAGCAGGGCAGCACGAGGAAGGCTGGAGTTATCGGGGAACACAAAGCAACAAAAGGAAAAGGGGACACTCACCATTAACCTGCTGGGAGGAGATTTTCTTGTCAGTTATTTTGTCGTGGTTGGTAAGGAAGACAGCCACCTCTCTGTCTGCTAAGAGATTATCCAGAGTACTGGTTTCGTGCTGGGCACGTGCTGCGTAGGTTTCCTTCGGCATCTGCACCATGAGATTGGGGAGGGTTTGATCCAGGGGGTCCTCTTCTGCGATGTAGGCGTAGGGACAGTACTCTCGTGTCCTGGAGTAGATGTTGGCGTTGTCGTAACAGTCCGAGCAGATCACCAGCGGCGCTGCGCCACCTGGCAACACGATGGAACACCAAAATACTCTTAAGGAGGAGAATGACGCTGGATTTCCACAGCCTTTCACACCCTAGCATGACGGTGGTTACAGCAGCTCGGTCTGAGGGGCCTTTAGAAGCTGACATGGTGACAGAGCACTCAGCCCCGCCGGTCGCTGCAGAGGCCCCGGGTCCCCGGCACCCACATCCCCACCCGCTCGGCCCCTCTGAGCCCAGACCGGGGAACCACGGAGAGGAGCGAGAGCTCCCCTGTTTCGAGGGCAGAAGGGTTCCCGGTGAAGCCACCTCTGATGTTACGCAGCGGTACCGGGGCGCGTGGGGCAGCACCGGGGCCGGCCGCGCACACGCGGGGCTCGGCTCTGCTCACCTTCTGTGCCTTTGTGCACGTAGCCACCGGCCGGAGGCATGAGCTGCTGATGGCTTCCTGCCTCGGAGTTGCTGTAGCCTTCCTGCGGCTCTGACAGAGTTCCCTGGGAGGACAGGTAGCTGGGGATGTCTGCAGGTAGGTTCATCTCCTCTGCAAGGCAGAATTAACAGTGACGGCATCGACAGCCAAGCAGGACAACGCCAGGGTAGCACCCACAGCACCACACACGTTAACACCACCACCCAGAATTTCAGCTATCTTTTCTCTGCCTCGGTGATTACAAATCCACATAGCTGCTTCAAAACTAACAGGGCCAGACCAGTTTACACACATTATTCCAGGTCCTGAAAACATCTGTAAATGTATTCAAATATTTCTAGACCGCAGTGTTTTCCCTCAACGCAGAACAAACACAGTTTGTAAGGAATAAAATTAACATGCTTTTTGTATTTAAAAAACCCTCTAAAATGAAGGAATTTGAGCAAATCCCTGAAGAGATTTTAGAAGGCAGTCTTCAGTTCTGCAATCTCATCCATCTGTAACGAATGCAGAAATGTCACCACTTGTTATTAACAAGTGTTTTGCGTTAAAAACGGCTGAAGACCGCCGCTCCTGCAGGTTACCTGTGTTGGTGATGCTGTAATCTTCACTCTTTCTTCTCATGTGGTAGATGACGATGACCCACACCAGGGACGTCCCCACCACGCAGCAGACCACCACGATGATCACGATGCCCACTGTGGTCCAGCCGTCCTCCTCGTGCACGATGCCACCCTGGGAGGAATCACAGTTCGGGGACGCCAGGACGTTGAGGTAGATGTGGCCGCGCTCGGTGCCCAGCGTGTTGGACATGATGCACGTGTACTTCCCAGCATCCTCCAGCCCAGCATCCACGATGATAAGGAGCTGATTCGCCGCAGCAAAGAAGTGCCGTTCTGTGACCGCCAAAGGGCCGTCGTCTTTCGTCCAGTTGAGGCGAGGGGCCGGACTGCCGCCAGCTATGCACTGCAGGACAGCGGTTTCACCTCGGGTCACCGTTCTGTCTTCCAGAGGCCTAACGAAGGAGGGAGTTTCTGTGACAGCGGAGGGGAAAAAACAGAAGATAAATTGTAAGACAACCTCGCTGTGCCACACCACTGTGTACTACCTGACACTTAAAAATCTGATCTTACAACCTGAGCCTAAACTTGAGCAATCAGACAGAGGGTTCAGGGACTCCTCCGAGTTCAGCTCTTCCCTGGATCGCCGCAGCTAACGCAGGTACAGCGAACGCCCCCAGAGCACACCCGCCATGCTCTGCTCCATGCACTCGGGTCTAAATCTGCATATGGCTGTAATGCTGACAGTCGGAGTCTTCATAAAATACTGCCCTCCAGAGGGAACTGTCCTCCCACTACTGCTCAGCAACCCTTACCCGTGACTGGCTCTAAGGCCACACAAATTACCAGCCTGGTCTGCACCCCTGGCCAGAGATACGCCCCTCGGCTCCCCCCAGAGGATCACACCCACTTCACCGGCCAGCACGGCAGCTCAGCTTCTAAAGCTTCGCTGTTCAACAACCAAGTGCTGCTCCTTGCCCTTCAACCTCCCTCCTCAGGCCTTCAGCTCGCTGCCCCCAGGAAGCCACGCGCGACCCTGTGGCAGCGCCGGGATCAGGCGCGAGCGCCCAGCGCGCCGCTCACCCAGCACCGTCAGCGTGGCGTTGGCCGACAAACCGCCCGCGGTGTTCTGCGCCATGCAGCTGTAGATCCCCATGTCTTCTATTTTGACATTTGCAATGAAGAACACGTCATCCTCGGGCATGACGTGCATCCTCCTCTCTCTCGCCGCGGGGAAGTCGGTGCCACCATCCTTCTGCCAGGAGATCTGCGGAGTAGGGTGGCCCTCAGCCGCGCACTCCAGGCGGGCCATGGCCCCCGTGCGGATGGTCAGATCCATGGGGGTTTTCAGGAAGGAGGGCAGCTCTGCAGCAAAGAGACAGTTCCCGTACTTTCAGTATCTGGGAAAAGCAGCAAGAACATCTGGAAACAGACCAGTGTGAAACACACCTGGAGTTCTCCTGGAGAGAGAGGGGCAAGTTGTCACTTCTAGAGCCTGTGCTCCAGGTTTCCAGACAGTACCTACAGCCTTCATTTCAGCTGATGTGAGGGACAACATTCCCATGGGGAACATACAGGGAAAAGCTTTACCCTTCTTCCTGAGGCCCCTGTCTCGCTTTTTCTTCCCTGGCAAGAGGGAAGGTGAACTTGTGAACTCCCCCCCGTCGGTCCCAGTCCGCACTATCTGTTCTGGACACCCCGGGCACCTCCGCCCTCAGGTACAGCGGGGATCAGCCATCCACCCGCTGACGTCAGCAGCATGACAAGGATCGTTATGGCTAAAACCAAACAACTTCCTAACTGATTGTTCCGTTTGCTTCCAGTCCCACCAGTTACTTTCAGTCGAATCTTCCCTAGTTTTAAAAACACATGGGAGAGGTGCTTAGTTCTGAAGAGACAGCAGAGGGAGCTTTGAGTTTAAGAGACTTCTACCTCCATTTAAATAGCTGAACTACTAATTGTGTTACGATGAAAGCACAGAAGGTATCTGTCCCTTTTTTTAGAAGTGAACAGAAGGCTTTTCACCCACAAAAAAAAAAAAAAAAAAAAAAAAAAAAAAAAAAAAAAAATCACTCCTTCCCTGCTTTATAAGATGCTTATTACTTCTAAATACCTGTGAGACAGTCTTGCAAGGCTATTTTGGGCCAGCTCTAGTGAAAAAATAGACTTGCAGCTATTCAGACAAAGCTTCAGGTTAGAAGTGCTTCTCCTTTGTTCCCATCACTGCTTACCATTGACAGTCAGCTTGGCTTTGCTGGAGTAATTGGAGCCAAAGTGATTGGTGACAATGCACTGGTACTTCCCTTCATCGGTGAAATTCACATTGAAGAGGTGCAGGACAGTGGTGTACTCGACCACCTCGCTGCTTTGCTGCTGATACCTGGCAAAATTTTCAACCTCTGCGTCGTAGAGCACTTCGCTGTCTTTACGCCAGGCCGTGGACATGGGCGAGTCACTGCTGCTCACAGCAGTGCAAGTCAGAGTCACGTTCATGCCGCGCAGAGCGATTGTGGTCTCCGGATGCACCCTTATCTGGGGTTTGGGGAAATTATCTGCAAAGAAAAGCACACCATTAGTTACTTTCCTCTTAAACTTGCAATTAACATTGCAAGAAAACTCACTCAGAAGGCAGCGTAAGCAGAAAGCAAGCTTTGGAACAGATGTCCTGCTCGAGGTGCACATATTCAGCTGTTTTCAGTCGGAAACCAAGCTGTGAAAGAGGATGAGAACCACAGGCAGGGAAACGGAACAAGCACTGGAAACAGTCGGCGTAGAAGCGTGGTCTTGAGCAAGGCCCTGCATTTCGTACAACTGTCTGGAACTTGCTATATTTAGATCACACACAAAAGCCAGGCTCAGCTGAAGAGCTAGGCTATTTTACGGAGGACCGAGACTTATTTTCAGATAGCTTAAATATCTTGAAAAGCCTTTAAGTTCTACAAATACAAAGCACAGCAAGCTGGCAGCTCCCTGTCTCATCCCACTCGATGAGAGTTATTTCAATACCTATTATTTGAGCAAAGACATTCTCGTAGACACCCGCAGCGTTCAGTGTCGGGCACCACGGTGGGGATATCAGAATAGAGGTAGGTGCTTGCACCTACACGGCGATTATTGTAGCCTTTTCCACCAAAAGAATGAAAGAATTGCGTAGACACAAGTAACACTTATCAGGCTGCTCACCCGGGAAACAGAACACCAGGTCTGCCACAGACTTCACACATGGCTCTGGGCAAAGAGTCTCTCAGTTTTCCATCTCACAGTTCGGTTACAAAAATAAACAGGCTTATGTCAAACTGTGGTGGCAGAGACCAGATAAACGTTACAGATATAGAGCATCAGAAAACGTCCCAGAGTATTAACTGCTCCAGCCCTGCTGGCGTGGACAAGAACCAGTAGGAAGCGTCAAACAGCCCTTCCAAAGCTGAAGGTGTTCACAGGCAGGGAGAGCGGAACGTGACCAGCTTCTAACAGTAACCTAAATGAAAAACAATGAAGTCTCATGGAATCACTCCCTCAGGTTAGCTTCAGCGCTCAAATACCACAAAACAGAGCAAAGAGAAGCAGAGTTGAACCCCAAACTCCAAAGCACACCCAGTGACGTCTCACAGCCGAGACCAAGTGCCCCCAGCAGCGCTACAGCCTGGCTTCAGCAGGGAACCCGCACTGATTTGGGCTACCACGTTTTTATAACACAGGTTGTTAAAAGTACAAACCACAGACAAAGTCAGCAGGGTCCACGCTGAGAAGGCTCTGTCCTGCCAGCCACTCGGGGTGAGCACAGCTGACGTTCACGGCCTGCTGCAAGCGGCTGTCGGTGAGCCACCGCGGCAGCCACCCCAGCTGGCAATCGCAAAGCAAGCTGCTCGTGTTCAACACTCTGCAGGAACAAGGCAAAAAGGCGTGATTAAAGTTTATGTATTTCACATTCCTACATGGGATTTCATGCAGCAGAACAACTTAAAGTGTATACGTTCAGAAATTTCAAGACTGACGGTTTTCTTTTATGCCCGTGGGTATTTATTATAAAGTGTTAGCTATATATGGTCTAAACAATCAAGAAAAACCTTCCCTCCGTGCCAGCATTAAAACTTTACATTTCTTTTTAATTCTGAAGAAAATAACCTTGGATTTTCAACTTCTGCATAAACATATTAAGCCCGTGTTTACAATTATCCCATCCCTCTTTAGAGCAATTAAAAGGAACATAATGCTGCAAGGAAGCTCTATGTCTCTAACTAAACACACTTGCCATTATGAAATAAGCATAAGCCTCAATAAATATTTATTAGCTGGCACAAAAACCAGTAAGATTGAAAGTGATTTGTTTCATACAGGCACCTACTGCAGACTGTCTTCTCTCCCCACAGAAATGCAAACAGGAAGCGATGATGGGTCACGTTTTCCCCACCATCTGCTTTCAAGATTTCCTGAGTATTTTGTCCCAGTATGACTGGTTAAATCGCTGGACTTTCTCAAGAAGTGATGAATCCAGGAGAGGCACGCAAAGAAGCCAGGATCCCACCCTGCCATTTGCCCCCACGCACACCAACGATTCCTCGCTTTGAGATACAGCAGAGAAGGCAACGAAAGTCTTATCTTTAACACCTAAAATGTGTCTCCTCAAACTGGCAGATCTTGCAGACTAAGTCCATCTGGCCAAGATTAACTAATTGAATAACAGTTTTACAACAGATTACACGATATGCAGAGACTTTATCTCAGAGGTGACTGCGTTAGTCTTGGGTGTGAAGGTCACTTCACATTATAATACTTCAAATGTCTGAAGAGCACAAGAGGCTCTAGCAGCTTAAGCATCTGTTGAGCAAGTAAAAATTCTTGTCTAGTCGTGAATTTTAAAGCCTTTCCCCAGCCCCAAAAATGGGAAGACAAGAGGTGGGTTTAGCTAAACCCCGCCCCCCCC